AAGATATTTGCCATGAGAATATTACACAAATATACTTTTCATGCTAACTTTATGCAGATCCGTTTTACTGAACAGTTTATGATCTAGTCTGGGAAAATAAATGTTGAGGATTAAATGAGATAATGTCAAGTGACTAGTGGCAGGCCCTCAGTAAATTCCCAATGAATGGTTGCTATTAATATGATTATCCTGAGAACAACCAAATAGAGTAGAGGGCAAGTCCTCCTACTGTTATACCTGTTTTACAGAAGAAGAAACTAAAATCTGTTTTTAAATTTATAGTACCAACTGGAGTGAGACTGATAATTGGAATAACCCCTCCAAACGTCTCCCAAGGATAATTCATAACTCCAGATTTTCAGACGGATATCATCTCCAACTAAGTACGTGCAGATTCTTGAAAAATTTGACCAGCCAAAGGTACTTGCATTCTACCACTTGGGATGACAAGCCAGGCTTCCTAACTGTGGGGTACCTCAAATAACCAACCAACTTGCATATTTAGTTTCCTGCTGATAACATGGAAATTAATACAACTAAAATTTTAGAAGCACCATCATTTACCAATATATAAAGGTCATGTGTTGGACAATATGTGTGTTGATGAAAAGGTAGAATTTCCTAATATCCTTTTCTTTTTTTATTTCTTTTACCTATAAAATTCATTAATCTGAGATGTGAAACAGCATGTGTGTCAGAAAAGAGAAGAAAAAGGAGAGAGCTGTATAGCTATGGGGGCCATAGAAATTGTTACTGAGTCCCTGAAGACCCATAGTGTTGAATCAGTGGTATGGCTTATAACCAACTTCTGCCATCATCACAGATTATCATTAACTCACAAGGGAAAAGACCAAGAAGAGGCTGGGAAGAGAACCTTACACAAGCTTTTCCATGTGTGACACATCCAAGGTCATATGGCTATTAGTGGCCAAGTCAGTACTTGAGACCAGGTCTGACAACCAATCTACTCCTCTATTTCTAGGATATTTAATCAATGTTTACTTACTCTCTTACCTACTCTTCACATCTCATTCTGAATTATATGTCAGATAGACTGAAGACTAAGCCAGAGTTAATATGTTGCTTTACCCATAATAGATAAGCCAAGATTCCCTTTTAATTTTCTTAACATGTTGCTCTCCTGTTGCAAGTAATTTGTGTTTTGGTTGTAAGGACAAACTAGAGAGGGATAAAAAGAAATCAGTACTCTTTGATAACAGTTGTATGGAAACAAGAATATATTTCAAGGAGTGTTTTAAACTATCAGGCATAGAATGTAACAAGTGTTGACTTTCCTAAAAGACATTTGAGTAATTCCAACTGCCATTTGGGGTGGGATGGTCGCTGGACAAGATTGAATCACGCAGAGTAAAATAATTTTAAAGTATTCTATTTTCATGTTTAAAACAACATTATAATGCAAACCATTTTTCCATGATGCTAAAAAAAATTCTCACTTTATTCTGGAATGTGGATGCTAAAGATGTGTGCTCTGTTTTTTGCTGGTGGCGTTCTACTGAGGGGAGTTTTAAGGTTGTTAGGGGCAGAGACAATGTCACCTACTTCATGTTTGGGGCATGTAGGGAGTTCTCAGTGAACAATGGTCTCGTTAAATCTATAATTAGAGGAAATAAGAATGGCAAGAATAAAATAAAATACTCAGATATGTTTCTTCCCCATTGCCAGAATCATGTTAGTCACTAGTTTTCTACTTGTTTTCTGGGAAGACCTGGGTACATTGCGTCCTACATGCACCCAACACTCCTATTACAGCAAAGTATTAGCAACAATATGAATGGCAGTGGCTAACATTTACAGAGTACCTTCAAATGTAACGATAACTTAAACCATTTGTAAATATTCTCACATTAACCTGCAAAGCAGAATATTTTTTTATTGCTCAGCAACCACATAAAATTAACTATCCTGCAAGGTCACACAGCTAGAGAAGCAGTACTGTGTGATATTGAAGCACAGGGACTACAGTCGTGTATTCAAGACCCAACTCCTCCAATTTCTACTGGAAGTTGCTTTACCTCTCTAAGGTTTCATTTACTGACTACAAAATGCATATTGTAATTTTCTCTTTCCCATTAGCTTCTTGTGAGGATTGAGTGAAATAGTCAATGGAAAGAACTTAGCAAAGTGATTGAGATGTATATATAAAACGCTTAAAACAATATTGCGATGCAAACCATTTATCCATGATGCTAAAAAAATTCTCACTTTATTTTAGATCATGGATGCTAAAGATGTGTGCTGTTTTTTGCTGGTGGCATTCTACTGAGGGGAGTTTTAAGGTATATATATAGTTATATATATATATATAAAATAAATACACATATGTATATACATACACACATGCACATACATGTATGTAGAAAAACACTAAGGCCTGTGTTTCCAGTCATGCTAGATCTCAAAAACTTGTGATTCTCCTAAGGTACTATGCTCTCTCTTCATATCTATGCTTTTGCTAATTTATGTGCCTTTCACCATCTAATATTTCTTTTCTCAGACTACAATATGGGCAAAGATAACTATTCTCTTATTCATTTTTCAAGTCTAAGAATAGCTTATTCAAAATCATCCCTGCCTCCCAAAACTAAGCTCTGTCCCATAGAATCCAGGATATTATTTCTCCCAAATTACTTATTGCATATTGTAACATATAACATGTTCCTACTTGTCTGTGTCAATCAATAAACTGTGAGGTCCTCAAGCACAAGAACTATATCCTTTTACTTAGTGTCCCTCAACACCCAACACATGGCCTGAGCTGTGGAATATAAGCAATATATATTGGAAGGATGGACAAATTGAGACAGGGATGCACACAGGAAATAGTTGAGCCATTGATGCTGCCATCCATGTGGATATTCCAAGTTGAAGTGAGCAGGCACTGAACAGAAAAGAGACACTCAACAAACATGTTATGGTAGCTGCATTTATCTGCTTTCCTTCCCATGGGGCAAAGGCCAAAAGCTGTAGAAAGCAATGCATATGTATAAAGAATTTGGAATCTCTCCTTCCCCTCTCAAGTCATTGGAAACCTAAGTTTACCTCAAAGCATGGAAGCTAGACCTGCCCCACACTAGAGTAATGAATGGCAGTATTGTCTACAAATCACTCAGAGTTCCTCAGAGAGATGGACAGTGGTCCTGAGCAGTGTTTCTCAAACTCTATGGACAATGTCCCTAGAGTCAAACGGACTCTATTTGGCAATGTCAAAATGTACATGCTGATTTGGTTGTTATGGAAATGCAGTTTTTATTAGACTGCACTTTGTCAGGGAAGGAATGTTACACAAGTTGTAGACTGTACTGGCCAGGATTTTTTTGGAGAAACAGAACCAATAGGATTCATAGAGATGGATAAATGAGCAGCAGCTTATTAGAGGAATTGACTCACATGGTTATGGAGGCTGAGAAACCTCAGGCCAGGCCACCTGCAAGCTGGAGAACCAAGAAAGCCAGTAACATGGCAGATTCCGAGTTCAAAGGCCTATGAACCAAGGAAGCCAATAACATCACTCTCAGTCTGAAGCCAAAGGCCTGAGAACCTGGTGGAGGATGTAGGAGTTGTGGGGGCAGTTCTTGTCCAAAAGTAGAAGAAGAAAGATGTCCCAGCTCACTGAGAGAGAAAGAACCCACCTTTCCCCTGCCTTTTATTCTATCTGGGCCCTCAACCAATTAGTGGTGCCTGCCCACATTGGGTGAGGGTATCTCCTCTCTACTCAGTGCACTGAGTCAAATGCCAATCTCTTCTGGAAACACCCTCACAGATATACCTAAAAATAATGCTTTACTTGTTCTCTGGGTATTCCTTAGCCCAGTCAAGTAGACACCTAAAATTAAATGTCTCATGGGCAATGTTCAAAAACCAAAAAAAAAAAAAAAAAAAATGAGACTTTTTTTCTAGACCAGTGTTTCTCAACTTTAGCTGCACATTTGAAAGACCTGGGAAGCTCTGTAAAAAAAAAAAAAAAAAAAAAATATATATATATATATATATATATATATACACACACACACACACACACACACACACATATATATACACACACACACACATATATATATATATATATAAAATATCAACCCAACTATCATCTCTGCCTCCTCTCTCATCAATTGATCTTAGTTTGGGGGAATCTTCTTTCAAGTGGTTCTAATGAAAAGCCTGTGGGGGAGCCACTACCCTACCAGTCAACCAGCATCACTCAAAATCTAGTCCAAGTCCTGGTGTGGCTCAAACTGTTTCTAGCTGGTTCATGACGAGATAAGTACTGAAACTGAGAGTAAGTGTGTCTTAATCTGTTCAGGCTACTCTAGAAAAATAACACAGATTAAGTGACTCATAAACAACAGAAATTCATTTCTCACATTCTGGAGACTGGGCAGTCAGAAATCAAGCCACCAGCAGATTTGTTGAGTAGTGAAGGCCCATTTCCTGGTTCATAGATGGCACCTTCTCATTATGTCCTCACATTGTGGAATGGCAAGGCCATAGGGCCTCTTTTGTAAGGGTGCTGATCCCATTCATCAGGACTCTATCCTTATAATCACATCATCTTCAGAAGCCCTATCACATTTATGACTAGGTTTCAACGTATGAATTTGGGGTGGACACAAACATTCAGACCATAACAAAGTGTTCAGAAACTTTTATAGCAATATGACAAATTAAGTTTATTCTTAATTGAATGGAATAATAAAAACAGATGGATTAGTGAAAAAACAATAGTTGGCTTATAAAGAAATATATTGAAACCCCCTGAAGGAATGGTCTAAATCACTAAACATATGCATCTCTGGAAGTGAGGATATACTGGGCCCCTTCTTTAAGCTGTTGTGTCTTAAAGCTGAAATATTAACTTCAGTGATAAATTCCTCAGGCAGAGCATTGGCACCTGGGTACAACAGGGTTAAAGAGCAGGAGTGGGGTAGGTGGGGTTACAAACCAGGAACACATGCCCTCCAAGTTAGATAGCTTTTTTTTCTCTTTAATTGCCCTTAAAACACACACGCTCTCACATAACACAGAAGGTGAGAGCTGAATGAAGTTTTCTGGGTAATGGCATGAAATGTTTTCCTTATGAGAAGTGGTGTTGAGTTACAGCGTGCAGACGGAGAACGGGGAGGAGAGAAACAGCAGCCTCAATCTGGCCCCCACCTTTTCTTGGGCTTGTAGGAAGGTGGACATGGGCTCCCGGAGACAAGACAAGTAATACGTTGAACTGTTCGGTGGCTGGAATCAACTTTTCCTGGAGTAACCTAAGGCCAGTGTTTACCAGAACTTAGCTAGGGCCAGCCAAGCAGGCACAGATGCTCTGCTATGAAATGCCACGCAGGCAGAGACTGACAAGCGGTAGGAGCTGAGCTTTCCCCTTGGACTGCTGCTTCCTGCTGTGTTCAGGGGAGGGGGTCACTTTCTGGCAACTCTGCTGCTGCTGCTGCTGCTACTTCAACTCCCTCTCCACTCAAGGTAAGCAGGCTAAGGGAGGGCAGGCTGCTAGGGAAAGCTTTGTACCATGAACAGGATCCGAAAGTTTTTCCGAGGAAGTGGGCGAGTCTTGGCATTTATCTTTGTAGCTTCTGTCATCTGGCTGCTCTTTGACATGGCAGCTCTCCGCCTCTCATTCAATGAGATCAACACTCGGGTCATCAAGGAAGACATTGTGAGGAGGGAGCGGATAGGATTCAGAGTTCAGCCAGACCAAGTGAAAATTTTTTACAGCAGCATAAAAGAGATGAAACCTCCCCTAAAGGGACATGGGAAAGGGGCACGGGGCAAAGAGAACTTTAGAAAAACTGAGGAGAGTGTGCTCAAGGTTGAGGTGGACTTGGACCAAACCCAGAGGGAAAGAAAAATGCAGAATGCCCTGGGAAGGGGCAAGGTTGTACCGTTGTGGCATCCTGCACATCTGCAGACCCTCCCTGTGCCTCCTCACAAGCAGAAGACAGAAGGGAGAGGCACCAACCCTGAAGCCTCCTCTCACCAGGGGACACCAAAGCAAATGACAGCTCAGGGGGCTCCAAAAACCTCATTCATAGCAGCAAAAGGAACTCCATTAGTCAAAATATCAGCACACATGGGACGTGTCAGTTTAAAACAGGAGCCCCTGAAGAGTCATAGTCCCAGCAGTGACACATCAAAACTAGCAGCTGAAAGGGACTTGAATGTGACCATCAGTCTTAGTACTGACAGACCAAAGAAGCGATCACAGGCAGTAGCAAAAGAGAGGGCACACCCTGCCAGCACAGCAGAGCCGAAGTCTGGGGAAGTCATGGCCTTAAACAAAACTAAGTCTCAGAGCAAAGAAGTCAATGCAAATAAACACAAGGCCAATAGGAGTCTTCCTTTTCTTAAGTTCATTGTCAATTCAAATCGCTTAAGGAAGCAATCTATTAATGAGACACATTTGGGAAGTCTGTCAAAGGATGATGGAGCTAGAGGGGCTCATGGGAAGAAACTCAATTTCTCTGAAAGCCATGTTGTGATTATAACCAAAGAAGAAGAGCAAAAGGCAGACCCCAAGGAGGTCTCCAATTCTAAAACCAAAACTGTATTTCCTAAAGTATTGGGTAAAAGCCAAGGTAAACACATTTCCAGGAATAGAAGTGAAATGTCTTTCTCTTCTCTTGCTCCACATAGAGTACCACTGTCCCAAACTAACCATGCTTTAGCTGGAGGGCTAAAGCCGGCAAAAATCAACATAACTGCCAAAGCCCCCTTTACAGAATACAACCAGAGTCATACAAAAGCCCTTTTACCTGAAGACAGTGGAATGCACCAGGTGTTAAGAATTGATGTGACGCTTTCTCCAAGGGACCCCAAAGCTCCAGGGCAGTTTGGGCGTCCTGTAGTTGTCCCCCATGGAAAGGAGAAGGAGGCAGAAAGAAGATGGAAAGAAGGGAACTTCAATGTCTACCTTAGCGATTTGATCCCAGTGGATAGAGCCATTGAAGACACCAGACCTGCTGGGTAAGACCTATTTCTCTTCTCTTTCCTCAACCCCAAGTGCTTTGGTTCTTATATAGAGAGAATTTATTGCTAGATAATTCCGTGTGGTTTTTTGTCACCTAGAGAATTAAAGAAACATTAATCATTGGATATCATTCAAATATTTCACCAACTACACAGAGAAAAAAATCTCATGTCAGCAGTTGCAGAGTTCTCATTCTCTGAGACTTTGGTCCCCACCATTAGCTCATGTTCAATTTCCTTCTCTCTGTTGAAAACCTGTTAAAATGATTAGATGAACTCAGTTCATAATAACGTATATATAAATGGTAGAGCTTAAAGTGTAATTCCATTAGAATAGTGACAAGGAAGTGAATTCCCAATTTTGGAGCTTTTCATTATTAGCAAGTTTGTCAGGAATATATTTGGGAAAGAAGCACACAGAAGGACTCTTCTAGGCCTCCCTGGAATCGTATCTCAGCCAGCAGAATTCTGCCTAATCATGAGTAATGATAACCAGGATAGCAAGAGAAGAAGTGACTTTACTCCCTAAAATTTAATGTCTTTTATAGATGGAGATGGTAGACATTTCAGGAGATCAGTTACATAGGAATAATAATGTTGGAAAAAGTCAATCAGTCCATACCAGCAAACACCTACAGGAGGTATAAAAAGCATAATAATAATCACTTCTATTTGTAGACATTCACTATTTACAAAGAACCTGCATACATATAGATGAACTCCATATGAGCCCTGGAAAGGAGGAGGCTGGCATTATGGTTCAAATTAACAAGCTGGCAAGGGCGCTCAGAAGTTACAACACTTTCTCAAAGTAATGCAGTTCTAAAGCTGCCCAGTGGACCTTCAGGAACCAGTTCTTCAAAAAGTTAAATTCCTGTATCACCAGATGTGGATCAAAGCATATAGATATTTAATCTGATTCAAATATAATTATGTTCCTGGCATTTTTTTTTCTTGGCCCACTGATAAGTGAAAGTACTCAATAGCCGTATTTCAATATCTGTTAACTCAGTTCCCTGAGTCAAACAATATTTGCCAGGAAGTTGGATTGGGGAATGTCAAGATTGAGACTTAGCACACGTGGCATGTAAACAATGGCCTTGTGGCTTCTGTAGAAAATTCTTCTTTGTGATCTAGGTAGTCAGTATTATACTTTAGTCGGTGTTACTAGGAGGAAGGCAGATACAGGGGAAGCTTTATCCATATTAGAAAGAAGAGTCTCTACATTGTGACGTCGCTACAACCAGGTCATTTTCCATCTCTTAGCCGTCAGCAAATGGCTATCAGCCATGCACTGCTTAGGTCAAGCACTGTGCCATTCACACTTCTCACCCTGGTGATAATCACAGCCTTGAGGAGAACACAGACATACTCAAAGATGAGGAAACTGAGGCCCTGGGATGCTAGATTGCCTGTGGTCACAAAGCTAGTCATTGTAGATAAATGATTAAAATTCATGCTCAAAATTATGCTGCATTCTTCTCCATCTCTTGCCAATCTCCCCTCAAAAAGGATCCTAAAAATTATGTTGGCCCAGCTCTAATCTAAAGTCCTGTGTATCACAGGATTACACTTGCCAGCTTTGAACAGAAAGTGCAGGGAAATGAAGTAGCTGTTAAAGGAGTTTCATTTTAACATGCCCTTATTGACCCAGCAGGCTGCTAGGGAGTCTGGGGAGGAATTAGACACTGCACAGAAGCACAAGCTCCAGTTCCAAACCAGAGAAAAGGCACATGTGTGGCGGGGTGAGGGTGCCCAAAGCAAGTAATAACAATGTTATCACCAGTGGGGCTCACTGAAGGCTCAGTGGCTCCCAGTGCTTTTTAGTTTCTATACTTTGGTCTGTAGAAGGTAAGCACTGCAGCCCAGGAAAGTTATAGTCAGGCTCTGTCCTCTGTCTTCTGAAGGAGGTTGTCCCAACTGTAGGAAAAACTGACACGTGTGCTTGAGAGGATGAGTCAGAGAGCATGTGGCCAGGCCTCCTCCCTCTTATCACATAACCCACCTTGGCTAAATATAGGCGTGTTCTCAAGCTGCCTGGCGGATGCTACGCTCCACTCAGGAGTCTACCACCAGGGATCCTGGACCTGGGGCCTCCCAAAGTATTTTTCAGTCCTTTCGTAGCCCTCTTCTTTGAAAGAGGATAAATCATTTTTTGTTCTTTTATCCAAACACCTTGACTATAAATATGTGTAAATTATGTATTCATGCAGATAAAGGTTAAAGAAAATACGATCAAAAAACATTTGATTCATCAGGTTGGCAAGATTTGGAGTGGTTTTTTTTTTTTTCTTTTTTTACTTTGGATTTATTTATTTTCAGCCTTGCTCAAAATGTGTTTGAGGTAGCTGCTTACAGGAACGCACGCAATAAGATTTTTTAAGATGATAAGTTTTCAAAGTCAGCATAAGGGGAAATTGTTACAAAACAGAATAAGAAAATGAGTATGTGTGTGTGAAAGAGAGAGAGAAACAACTATAAGAACACAAGAGGGCTAGCTTAAAATTAGCTGAAGTAGCATCCTACTGCAACCTTTAAATTTTGAGAGTTTTGGAGAATATCTTCCTTATTGACCTATTCATTTCCCCAAAATCCACTGTTATAGATGAATTAACACATAACTGGCATATCACTACTGCTCATTGAATACAGAATGCACCAAAAAATGTAAACAACAACAACAACAACAACAAAAACCACACACACAGATTTGGTATAATCATTTAAATTCAACTTCCCCCAGTGAAGATAATAACTAGTCAGTAGTTAACATCATTTAAAGGATGAATTAGCTGATGTGCTAGGGTGAGGTTACCATTAAGAAGTAGAGGACAGGCATGGTGGCTCACACCTGTAATCTCAGCACTTTGGGAGGCACGGTTGGAGAATCCCTTGAGCCCAGGAGTTTGAGATCAGCCTGGGCAATATAGTGAGACCTCATCACTACAAAAAGTTTAAAAATTACCCATGGGTGGTGGTGCATGCCTGTAGTCTCAGCCACTCAGGAGGCTGAGGTGGGAGGATCACTTGAGCCTGAGAGGTCGAGGTTGCAGTGAACCAAGATTGTGCCACTGCACAATAGCCTAGGTGACAGAATAAGACCTTGTCGCAGAAAACAACAACAACAACCAAAGCAGAGGAGATAGGCAGGGATTTCCAGGACAACTTCTCTTACTCTAGTTCTAAAATCAGATTCTCTTTTCCAAACCTACTCTTTCCTCCTTTTTCTCTTGGGTCCCAAAGGACCATTGCTAAAATGTTAAGATGCAATTTCATACCTCTTTTCTAAAGCACAAGAACTCCTTTCTGTTCTCAGGGTTACTCACACTGTCCTTTTCTGTCTGCCCATGTTTCTCCCCTTGGTGGTATAGCAATAGCACCCCGCACATGACATTTTCTCCAAGCTGGGCCCTCAGCATGAGAAAAGCTAATCTCTTTGCTCTTCTCCACCCATTATGGTTGTAACCATCCACTGAAGTTTACATTCACTGGTCCCTTCCCACAGCCTCCCTCCATCCTCACCATTCTCTTGCACACATTCTAATCCAACATTACTCAAAATTCAACTGTGGCTTCCCTCCACCTGGACCATGAGGTCGCTGTGACCTCTAAATTGTAATTACTCTTAGTGTACACAGGCATCCTAGTTACTGAAACACCCTTTACTGCGTCTGTTTTGTCTCCTTAGTGAAATTATAAGCTTCTGAAGGAAACTCTGTCTTTAGCTTTATTTTGTACTCCTTTAGCACTGATCACAGTGCTGTGCATTCAGAAGCAACAGGTTTACACAGTATGAATTTAAAATTTGTTTCTCTGAATTTGTTTCTCTGAAATGATTTTTGAACATTGATACTACCTTGAAAATAATCAAAAGGTAGCAATTCAAATGAAACCTGCAACAAGTCTATTTATAAATTATTAATGACTTCTTAATTTTTCATTATGAATATATGGAATATATTAAAATCTGATTTAAGGCAAACACATTCTGTTTAACGCTATGATCTATTCATTAATTCATGTTTATTCCTTATTTTATATTTTTGTTATTGTTTTGGTTCTTAATTTTAATGTTTTGGCTTTCAAGAGAGGAAAGCCTATTTTATTTACAAGAATGTTTTATGTCAGCATGTAAAATACAACTTCATTGTTGCCTAGAAATTTTGCCTATAAAATTTGCTTGAAATAAAATGCTTTTTTGACAGTTAAAGTTCCATATTTAATCTTTTTTTAATTAAAAGCTAATCTTTTCAGTTCTTGCTCCTAATGATTGAAGTTTGTTTCTGTCAGCAACAATCAACGCACATACACATACACATACACACACACACACATGCACACACATATGTAAACACAGGTTTTGCTAAAATGTGATCCTGTGCAGGGCAATTCTACTTGGAGAAGTCTGTCTTCTGGCCTGAAGCTATAGTTAAGATGGAACTCCAAAAATGAACTTATTTTAAGAGTGCACTTCCTGAATCTGAATTTAGAGAAAAATGACTCAAAGGAATTTTTGCTGCCAGCATTCAGTTTTTAAAGTACAATAAGAATTCTGGCGTGCTTGTCTGCCACTGCTGTGTCCTCATAATGTTACTCAATTGCTTAATTTAATGCTTTGCTTTCCCTACAAAACTCTGGCAAGCCCCTCCATAAAGCAATTAAAATGGGTCTTTATTCTCTTAGCCCAGAGCCAGGACTGTCAACCAATAATTTGATTCCTTCCTACACAGCTAAAGAAAGTTTTTTTTGGCACATTTGAAAAGCAAAAGATAGCACCATGCATTTGCCACAAACCAATCTAAATTACTGAGGGGAAAGAAAAACTTTCTGGAACCTTAATTTTGATCCTAGTAGGGTTAGAAACTATAACTGATGAGTTACTGGAGGAGGAAGGGGAGGAGCAGGAGGATACAGAAGAGAGAAAATAAAGTGATCAGGTATCCTCCCAAACTTTGAGCTTCTAAAAGTTTATCAGACTGAGAGAAAAAAAGAAACTT